GAAATCCTTGGAAGAGATTTTCCGTAGAGAAACTCAGTAGCGAAACTTGGTAGAGAAACTTGGTAGAGATACTTAATAGAGAACCTTGGTAGAGAGAATCTCGGTAAAGAAACTCGGTAGAGAAACTTGGTAGAGAACCTTGGTAGATACTTGGTATAGATACTTGGTAGAGAACCTCGGTAGAGAAACTGAGTAGAGAACCTTAATAGAGAAACTTGGTAGAGAAACTTGGTAGAGATCATCGGCGGAAAACCTCGGTAGAGATTCTCGGTAGAGAAACTCGGTAGAGAAACTCGGTAGAGAACGTTGGTAGAGAAACTTGTTAGAGATACTCGGTAGAGAATCTCGGTAGAGAACCTCGGTAGAAAACCTTAGTAGAGATCCTCGGTAGAGATCCTCGGTAAAGAACCTCGGTAGAGAACCTCGGTAAAGAAACTCAGTAGAGAACCTTGGTAGAGATACTTGGTATATATACTTGGTAGAGAACCTTGGTAGAGATCATCGGCAGAAAACTTTGGTAGAGGTTCTCGGTAGAGAAACTTGGTAGAGAAACTTGGTAGAAAACCTTGGTAGAGATACTAGGTAGAGATTATCGGCAAAAAACCTCGGTAGAGATTCTCGGTGAAGAAGTTTGGTACAGAACCTTGGTAGAGATATTCGGTAGAGATACTCGGTAGAGAACCTCGGTAGAGAACTTTGGTAGAGAAACTCGGTAGAGAACCTTGGTGGAGAAACTTCGTAGAGATCATCGGCAGAAAACCTCAGTAGAGATTCTTGGTAGAGAAACTTGGTAGAGAAACTTGGTAGAGAAACTTGGTAGAGAAACTTGGTAGAGAAACTTGGTAGAGATCATCGGCGGAAAACCTCGGTAGGGATTCTCTGTAGAGAAACACGGTAGAGAATCTCGGTAGAGAACCTCGGTAGAAAACCTTGGTAGAGATCCTCGGTAGAGATCCTCGGTAAAGAACCTGGGTAGAGAACCTTGGTAAAGAAACTCAGTAGAGAACCTTGGTAGAGATACTCAGTACAGATACTCGGTAGAGAACCTCGGTAGAGATCATCGGCAGAAAA